TCCTCCCAATCACGCATCATACCCCTTTCCTGGGAAAGGGGCTGAAGCAGTGAGATTTCCTCAGGGGTCCTCAGACCTAGTCCCAAGGCTGTATTCCCTAGTTTCAATTCCTCTGTTTGACCATGGAAATCAAGGGCTTATAAAGGCCACTTTAAGAGGTCTTCTCTTTAAGCCACCCGAGTTAATAAGGCCAAATGGAGATTTTTCCAACACCTATACCTCCCAAAGATATTTCCTTTAAACAAGTTCAGTCCATTTGGTTTAAACATCCTGAGCTTTTTCCAGCTACCAGACCACTCAAGTGCACAGAAGATGAAATAATTGGTAGAATTTTCAATGTTTCTTTGTTTTTCATGTGACCGCTTTGTGTGAGTCAAAGGGATATGCCGACAACAGCACAGCCCTGGTCACACTTGTTACTAATATGCCCGCCAATTAATCCTGACATGGGAGCTTGGCTGGTTACCCGAAACTGGCTATTTTATCACCTCAGGGGGTTAGCTCTTGGATGTTTCTATGACATTTTATACTAATCAATCAACTTTCCTCTGTTTAAAGCTGAGCCTTTCACAAGAACTGCAAATGAGTCCTATACGCCCCACACCCAAGGCCACCCATTTCCCCAAACAGAACTGTGTTTGGTTTGTTGATAATTACACTTTGAAGCCGGCTTTTGAAAATGTTTATTCTTATGTCTTCCCTTCCAAGGGGGAAATCTATCTCAAATGTTAAGACAGAAACCCACGTCCCTGAGAGTTTTTTCATATTATTGTATATTTAAAAATATTACAAGAGGGTGCTTCTCGAGGGAAGTGAACTTTAGAGCTGCCAAAGATAGTTGACTTTCTCCAAATCTGTTACCAATGGATCCCAAGCTGGTTTAAGTCAGTGCTATTCTGAGTGATGACACATGCGGCTGGGACAAACGCCATTCTAAGATATTTCTAGGACCCCCCCTGGCAAATGGTAATTTATCTGAAGACAGCTAGGCTGGCGAAGGAAGGACAGATGGGAAGAACGAGTCTCCTGGGAGCCCCACGCTGAAGCAGGAGTCCTAAATCAACGCCAGGGACCACGTTCTCACGGGCTGAGGCCGTCTCATCACTCACACATCTCCCCCTAATCCTCTGGTTCCCAATGATTCTTTCAGCCATTCTTAATATAGGTCATCACGCTGCAAAAAGTTTTACTGGCGAACTTTCGGTTTTCCTCCTGTGCCCCGTCTCCCGGAATTTCCGCAGGAAGAGCCCCAGCCTAAAGCACGAGCTTTCTGCTTTCCCCATCATTCCATCGCTACCTTCAGGAAGTTCTGGGACATACAACTCTCTTAAAATCTCCTCCCTTTCTCTTTTTCTCTTTCCCCCTCAGCTTTATTGAGGTACGACTGACAAATAAAAATTGTATTTATCTGAGGCGTACAATGTGATGTTTTGATACACGTATACGTTGTGACAGGTTTACCTCAAGCTAATTAACACGTTCGGCACCTCACATAGGTACCGTGTTTGGGGGGACGGGGGTCAGAACAACTCAGCTGTACTCTCTTGGCAATACTGTATGTAGCGTGTACTTGGAATTTGCTAACTGTAGTCACCGTGCTGTGTATCAGAGCTCCAGGTCTCATTCATCCAGCGTATCTGAAACTGTGTACCCTGTGACTAGGATCTCCCCATTTCCCTACCCCTCAGCCCCTGGTGACCACCATTTTTGTCTCTGCTTTAAAGACTTCAACTTTTTTAGATTCCACATATAAATGAGATCATGAATCTGGAGGACATTATGCTAAGCGAAATAAGCCAGACACAGAAAGACAAATACTGCATGACCTCCTTTTCTATTTTTCCCCTCTTCCTCTTTGTCTACGCCTAATTCAAAGAGCCCAGGTTGTCCAAGGTCATGAAGCAAGGCAAAAAGCACACTGGCCTCCGAGTCAGAAACCCTAGCCCCTCCAGAGAACTACTGCGTGATCTCGGGTACGTCACTGGCCTGCCTCTGCCTTAGCTGCCTCATTTGCAAGAGAGAGGGGTGTCTAGCATACTCGACTCATGGTCTGCTGGGAGGACTAAAGGGCACAACGCACGGGGAAGATGTTTTGCAAAACAAAACACACTCTACACCTGTTAGTGCTGACTCACACCAAAGTCCCTTCTGTAACACCTCACCCCAAGCAAGACACAGCACCACCATCACTCTCTTGTGAAGGGACCAAGTGGCCAGTTGACTTGGGGTTAAGATACCTATCGCACGTGACGTTCTGGAACATTCGCTCTGTCCCAGGCACTAAGCGTTACTCCACTTAATCCTCTCGATCTAGCAGCTAGGTGGTCCTTGCATTTTATAGAGGAGGAGGCAGTCTTGGAGAGGCCATGATGCTGGGGAGGACAAGAGCCAGGCTCTGCACACAGGCTTGGCAGCAGGACCCATGCCTTCACCCGCACCGCACAGGTACAAAAACGGGCTCAAACGGGTAGCTGGCTTAGGAAGTGAGGTGAAGTTTTATGGAATCCTTAAGGGCTCCCTGGAAGTAAAATGCTGCTGCTCCAAGATATGTGGACTCTGCGCGTCACAGGGAAGAGAGGTGTGGCCGCCCCTTCTTTCCCTGGTACTCCCACACCTCCATTTCTCCCTCTGCTGAGAAGTCAAACGGCAGCCGTGAGATAAACATCATGCTTTAATTTTACTTCGCCCCTCCATTTATGAGGCAGAGTTCCTGTCCCTAATACAGGGGAAGAAAAGGCTGTTTCTTGGGAATAGACCTCATGTGCCCCCTGATGATGCCAGGGCAACGCTGCAGTGGTACAGAGTGCCCCTTACAGGGAGGGGTGTCTGGGCAGCTCTTGTTGGAGGCAAATATTGTGTGGCTGAGCCAAGCTCTGCACCCCGGGATGCAGAAGCCAGGTGATCTGGTGGGGCAGGGGCAGGGAGGTGGGGAGAACACCTCCTCATGGCTGACCGGCCCCCCTCCCGTGCGGGAAACGCATCTCACGGAGTTTCCGCGAAGACTGTTCTTCTGAGACGGCGTCTATTAACTTACTCTGACCTTCCAAGAATGTTGACAAGCTGCATCATGCCCACAGTTTGTAAGTTCACTGAGGACAGATTTTGGTTTCTTTGAATGCCCGTCTCCATGAAGTTTCCAAAACACAGAAGGAACTTAATAAACAGGCTGAACACCGCCTCTGCCGCCATGCTTTGTGCATCTCAGACAAGTGCAGACAAAAGCCTGGTTTTGCTGCCGCTGGAGCTCGCCTCTTCTGGCGGTCAGGAACCACCTCTGACCCACTGTCATCACCTCATCATAACAGGGTCCTACCCTCATCTGGCCGCCTGTCTCTACTGATGCTGGAGTCTGAGTGGACCTGACAAGAACAGGTATGTCTGGACACAGGAGGAAGCAGCACTCAGAGATGAAGAGACTGCTCTGTCTCCCTCCAGATCTACTCAGTGCAGGTCAGTTCTCCCTGAGCCTCGGGGCTCTGCTGCAAGATGGGGCAGGTAGCTGCCATAGTATTCCTCACGCCTCCTCCCAGTTCTGCATTTTCTACACGGGGCTTTGGAGATGGGAAGTGCTCAGGAAATGCTCTGGAAGCATGAAGAACATCTGGTTGACCTTAGGCTGGTGGCTTCCCTACCTGTATTCTCCTTAGTGTTGTGTGTGTGAGTGCGTCTGCATGAGTGTGTTGGTGGAGACCCAGGAGGAAGAGGAGGGGGGCCAAAGCTCAGCTGAATGGCAGGAAGGATATTCTAAGAAGAGGGGAAGCTGCAGGTGAGAAGACAGAAAGCAAATTGGAAGTGGAAAAACTGTCCCAATACTTTCCAGGGAACAGACTGGGTTGTGAGTCAAGGAGGTATTTAGCAAGGAAGGTTTCCGACAAGTGTTCTGGTGAGGCTGATCCTTGGCGGGCCCAGGGGTGGGGGAAGGGAGGATGTATTCCAGTGACAAATGTGTAGTGACAGCATGGTGCATGGCACATGTCCCCTTCCCTAATAAGGCTGGAGGTGGAAGTCACCACATGGTCACCACTGCCCCCTAAATCCAGGAAGAACCATGAAAAGAACACAGGACTCACAGTTCCCGGGACTGGCTCTGTGACTCACTAGCTCCGTCAGAGAGTTACCTGGCTGAGCCCCCACGTCCGCCAGTGAGAGAACAAGGCTAACAGCACCGCGGCAACAATACAGTAGCAGCGCCCCTCCCGCAGCCGTCAGGAGGGTGCCCGCCAAGGAGGTGAAGTGTCTGCAAATGCTTGGTGAACAGAGGAATACGTTCCCAAATAGCTGAATACTCGTTAACGACGAAAAAACATCAAGAAAAAGGCAGAATAAACACTCTGCTTTGACTCAAGTCAGGAAACCACCATTAGAGTGTCACTGCAGATCCGGATGAACCCCAGAGAAGTCGCTGGGCCTTGCTCACTGGTCTCTATTCACACGAGGGGTTTTCAGCCCAGCTCCTCTCCCACAGAGGAGCTTCCTGAAGAACGATCCTGGACGGGACTCTACGTTTGCATTAACGCTGCGCAAGTAACACTGTCTCTGGTTTATCTTTAGACAGAGCCGAATACTCCACACTGAGTCTAGGGGGCAGCGATGGTGACAGAGCAAGAGCTCCTTCGTTTCCCACATGCTGCGGTTTTGTAGAGAACACTGAGTCAGTGTAGGAAATACATAAAGAGCCAATTTGATCCCACCACCCCACAAACAGAAAGCTAAAGGATTTCTCTGCTCAGCCCCCTCATTTTACAGGTGGAGACACCGAGGCCAAAGCCCTGCCCCTTGTAAACGGTAGAGTTGGTTCCGGAGCTCATCTTCCTCTCCACCCTACGGCACATCACCATCTCCATCTCGCATGTTTAAAATGCACTTTTAAGATTCAAACCTGAGCAGCATTCTATCATTCGCCATCCATCTCTAAATGCATTTCAGAAAATGAATCTGTGCTGCCCGCCCCTCTCCAAGAAGTGAGTGCCCACAGGGACTTCGGCCCCTGCTCTTCTTACCTGTAAATTTGCACAAGGCGGTAAAACATGAGTGGGGATTTCATTCTCAGACCCCGCTGGCCCCAGGGGCTTGTTCTTGACCCGGAAGGCTGTGGTGGTGGTGGCAGTGGTGGTCTGAGCTGGGAGGGCTGGCTGCCACACCGTCACATCCGAGCCATTGCCAAAGGCTTGAATTGCATTTTCTGCAGTAAAACAGGAGGAAATCCAATTTCAAAGTCAAGCAGCAAATGTAACAGACAGGATACACGAAGCCAGAGAGGCACACTAGAAATTCTGATGAGTGCACTGGACTTCTCTGAACAGAACCCATCCATCCATCCTCCCTACATGTGCTGAGAGCCAGCCATGGGTCAGATGCTCAAAAATCAATTCACTCATTAAACACTGAGCTGGACACTCAGCTATGCTCTAAGTGCAACAAATATTTATTGTGTCCCTATTTGTGTACCAGGTGCTGAGCAAGATCCTTGCCCTGAAACACTCATCAGTCGAGCCTTTTGAAACCCAGCCTCAGACCTGTTATTTGGGATCATAATCACTGTTCCATCTTCCAGGAAAATGCTTGGGCTTTGTCAAAATCCTATACTAAAAGCAAACTAATTAGTGGTTTTTTTTAAGCACCACATCTCTAACTACGAGACGGGGGTGACTCAGGGGCATGATACTGATTTGGCAGGCAGTAGAATAAAAAGCAAAACAATGTGATTCACTACCACGAGCACCTACTATGAACCCAGCATTGCTCAAAGTACCAACGCAATCAGTTTCTTTAAAAGAAAGAAAAAAAAATCCATCCCAAACCTCATCAATAATAAATAGTGAAAATTTAAGTAAGATTATTTTTTCTCTTTCTGCTCCCAGTCTTCCAAACAAAATCTGCATAATTAGGACGGAGCAGCCCTGCTTAAATGAAAAGTTTAAAATGTAAAACTTTAAAAGCTTATTACAATTTCATGGGATTAGATTGTTTTTATGGCAAGAATAAATTGGTTGTGTGTTGTTCCCCTCCCCCAAATGAATAAAAACAGTTTTTAATCAGGTCCTCGGGGATTTGGCCTGGATTTAGGATTTTTTTTTATTTCATATTCATTGTATAAGAAATCAAACTCCTCCATTTGGGACCTGAATGTGCAAATTGTTAACGTATGACTCTTAGCTGATACACAAGACAGAATAATTTAAGCCTAATCTTCCTCTTAGAAGTGACATTTTGTCCTAAAATTGTTATCCTTCAAGTTCAGCAAATTGGAAGCTTGTTTTCTAACACTTTACATTTTCCAGGCTGTAAGAAACAGCTTCAAATTAATATCAGTGCTTCTTAGGCTCCCAGCCATGCTACATGGCTTAACGGGCAGGGGGAAGGTAAAGAAAGAGGTATTTGCAGGACTAGTTTCCTTAAGTGCCCCAGGACAACAAGAGCAAAACAACAAAACCCTCCTCTTCCTTGTGAAGAATGGCAGATTCAGGAGACTGCTGCCATGTGTTGAAACTACCTGTGATTGCCAGCCTGTCTGCCTTGCTACTTGGGGAGACTTTGCGCACTTGCTCATTCATTCATTCAAAAGTCCGGGGAACATCCACTAAGCGTCAGGCACTGCTCTGTGCTGGGGATGGATCGTCAGTGGACCGCAAAGAAACAATAACAGACAAAAGTCCCTGCCCTCATGGAAGCCACATTCTGGTTGAGGAGGCATATAAGTAAAATATGTAACACATCAGGTAGTGAGAAATGCTTGCAGACAAACTAAGCAGGAACACTGCGGGTGGGAACAAAGAAATACAGCGTAAATGAAGTTGGCCAAGAGGCACAGGGTGACATCTGAAGAAAGACCTGAGTGACGGTAACTGGCATCTCCTCTCCATCTCCAGATCATTCTCCGCTCTTCCCCTCACCTCTGCCATGCATTCTGGTCTAAAAATAACTTTCCCTCCCAATTACCAGAAGGAAACCATAGGCTGGAGTCATGCTCATATTAGGGGAATCGGAGAGTTTTGGTTAACCTAAAAGGAGCAGAACTGGGTTATTGCATTTGGGTTGGAATCGACGAATTCCAATTCCTTCTTTTTAGGGGCCTGTTGCAAGAGACTGAATTTACAGCCCTGTGTCTTTGGTAGGCTGGCTTCTTCTAATCAAAGTATAAATTGAATGACTAAGAAAAATTCTGGCTGGCTTTGGTCCCTGTCGAAGACCAAGTGCACTTATTTTTATTGAAAAGTCATTAGCAATAAGATACCATTCTCCCCCGTCACCAAAATATTATTAAGCATGGACAACTTTCATTTTTCTTAGAGGCAGTGGTTTCCCAGCCCAAGTGAGTATAATCTTTCCTCACACTGACCTCTATTGTCATTGCTTTATCTTCATTAAAACTTGTATTCTGCCAGAAGAGTGTGCAGAATGTGAAAAAGAGGAGATGATATATATATATATATATATATATACATATATAATAGAGAGATAGATAGATACAGATATATTTTAGTAAAGACCAAACAAGAGGCTTAAGGTATAGTTCCCTGGTGTGCCCAGTGTCTTCGTAAATGTACTTCAGGCTAGTTTTACGGGTTTAAAATTTCTCTTACGTGTCCAAAAGCTTGTTTCAGTTTTAAGATGATCAAAGCATTTGGTTACAGCTTTCCTACTCAAGTACCTGCTGAACAAATCTCTTAGGTTTGTCTTCTCAACAGAAGGAACAATTGAAAAAGTTTTAGAAATGACACTTAAAAACTCTTCCATGTGCACGTGGTGAACAGTTAGCTAATTCTTTAAAAATCGGTCAGCGCATCATGGAGAAATTGTCACCTGAGGACACAGTGCTTAGGAGGGTGGCTACGACGTCCTAGAATCCTGGTCCACCCCTCCCACCGGGAAGTCATACCTGGTCCCTGACGCCCAGGCATATGTTCTTGTCCAGTAGGCCCTTCAGTATCAGGCATGAAACAAAAGCCCCCCGGGGCTCAGGGGGCTGCAGAAGGAACTACAGCTTTGGATTCTGTCTCTGGCATGGGTGGTCTATGTGAAATGGAGACGATAATAATTTTCTAGGACTCTTGTGCAGGTTACATTCAATGAATGTATACACTCCCTCCAGAGTGAGTTTACACTCCCTATGGAGTGTTTACACACACAGAAGGTGCCCCATAAATTAACGGTGGCTGTCACAAAATGTGAGTGAGGTATCCAAGCATCTCAGCTGGTTCAACACCTGGAAAGTGCACGTCCTGGATAAAAGGGAGACCCAGCACAGAGCTTTCGGAGTTCATCTGATCGTGCCCATCATTCACCCCCGTACATTTCTCTCTATCCTTCCCTCTTTGGGAAACATGTTTCTAAATTGCCTAAAGGACTCTACAATAATAACCAATACTGTTTCCAAGCAGAGTCCCAACCTCCAGCCCCGTCTCCGGAGATAATCTGCATCCTCGAAGCTCCCGGCTGCACTGCCAGCCAATCCCACTCAAGAACTGTTGCTTCTCCTCAGAACCAAGCCCGAACATCCAGGGGACTATTGATGTTTAACATTCTCGTTTTTCTCAGGGAGCCCTCGGAGGCCTACCCCCATCTAATCTGTCTGAGCTTCTCCCATTGTCTATTCCGCCCAGGTTTTAAGAGCCTTTGGAACGGACTCGGCGCTGGTTGCCAAGATCAAAATTTCATCTGTGGGTAGAAGTGTTCTTTCCCACATAATGTGCTCTCAGTGGTTTCACTTTCTCCCTCTCTCGGGCTCTAGTCTTGGCAGCACTCAGGTCATGGCTTGCTCTGTCCCTGCTGAGTGATGCAGCAGGGCCAAAAGGAGCCGGATTCACCCTCCGCCATCAGGGAAAGAGAGACAGAGAGACGGAGGAGGCAGACGCAAGAAACGTGAAGGTACAGCTTGAAGTTAGAGGGGAAAACATGCTTGTGTGTTTGTTGCCTATTTTTTCCAAACTCACTGAGACATGTGTTGTCCTTGAAGAAGTTCAGGAATTTCAAGCACTCCTCCAGGTCGTTTCCACTGTTGTTGCAGTCACACCAGGGGGCCACGCTGAGGCTGCTGGAGTCTATGTAGTTGGGGGTCATGACTGTACCTACAAGAGTGATAACAAGGCAGGCGTTTTAATCTCGTGTGATGATATAAACTTTTCTATAGCCTAGAAAGAAACAAATGTTCCTCTGACAGCGGATGCACCGTGGCTAATTACAAACATTGTGTTTGCTGAGTGGGAAATTATCTTAAGCAATGCATTTTCTTGGCAATTTCTCTTGAGCACATAAAATAATTTACACATTTACTTAAAAAAATTCGAACAGAACTCCTTGGGCTGCACTTAGGGTATTTTTCTCTGCACAAATGGTATGCATGTCGTGGAGTAGGAGAGAAATTAACTTGGAATGCATGAGTTGCCAAATCCCTTGCATTTTCTTGAAAATGTCATTAATCTTTATAAATAGATAGAGCTGGTTTTACATATCTTAAAAATCCTTTCAGGACTTTGAAATCCACTTCCCTCGGAAGCAAATGGCTCCTTCAGAGGAACACAGGGAAGCTGAGAAGCTCTCCTTATAGGTTATGCTGCATCCTGAATGTATATGAAGAGGCCTCTGCTCACCAGACTCTCAACTGATTTGCATAAAGTCTTCCACGTTGTGACGAAATTGGAAACAAACAGTGGAAATTCTCTAAGCCCATGGCTCCTAGAGTATTGTCTCAGTGGTCCTCAAAAGTCCTCAGAGAAATGCGGGGTGGTCTCTCTTGCCTACATCTTCCTGTATTCATGTTTTCCTGATGCGTTCTGTCCTGGCACAGATAAACAACGCGTGTATACTTAATAGGACCCAAACGTCTTCTCCTGGGTGGTTCACACCAGGCAATGCCTTTTCATGCCAAGAAGCCTTCTGTTTTTATATATTTTATGGAAGTAAGAAGTAATAGGTGGTCCAGTGAGCCACGGGATATATTTGGTCCAGAAACAGAAAAAAAAATTATTTTTAAGCTCTTCTGGGTCAAGGGTATAACTTCTTTGCCCTACATCCCTTGCTGACGTGAACTACATCGTGTCCCATTATACCTTGAGATGAAAACATTAACCCACAGCAGAAAGCAGCTTTTAACTTTGGGTGAGAAGGGAGCGGGCACCCCCCAAATACTGAGTGAGACGGTTAGAGTATGTCCATTAAGCACCCATGGTATGCCTGGTGCCATAATGGATCCCTGAAATTTGGAAGAAGTAGGAACAAGTTTGGTTCTGAGAGAAGCTAGAACCCAATTACCAGTGTGGAGGGAAAGATCTGGACCCAAGAGAGAAATAAACTTTGGTCCATTGAATGCATTGTCTCGACCAGCTAGTCCCTTAAATGATGAGGATTTCATTATCCTCAGGTATGTAACAGTTTGCCAAGCCAGAAGTGCCTGGGAGCTCTATGCCTTCGCCCCTCGTAGAGGATTTAATGAGCATGGGCGCCTGGAAGGTACGGACTTAAGGTGTTAGCAGTGATTAAATCCGGGAGTGGGGCAGAAGATCCTTAACGTTGTCTCCTCTGGGTTTCTCTGTATTTTTTTTTTAATTCTTTACAATGAGCACACCTTAATTACTTCCATTATTTCTTAAATCTGAAATTCCACAGTTGATAAGTAATCCTTACTAGAGACTACTTAAGAAGAGGAGAGAGTGAATGCAAATTTAGAGTCCTGACTGCAGGAAGATGAGCTCAGGGGACACACCGTAAGAACGGTGAAAGGTACTACCTGGTGAAAGGTATTACCCAAGGGAGCACGAGAATCCTTGCAGACAGCGTTGGGAGGAGTGTGCAGGCACCTGCAGTGTCCCTGCTTAAGTATCCTTGGTTATTCCCAGTGGTTCTTGCTGAAGATCCTCCGGTGACAAAGAATTTGGTCCGTGCTGTCACTCTTGGTGGGACGTTCTTCCTGCCTGGTGACTTATGTGATGCTGGCAGGAGCTCACACCCTGGCTGAGCCATCACGCTTCTGCCAACCGTGACTTTGCTCATCCTTCCACAGCCTTCACTCTGTGTTTCTTCTCTAACGTCAGTCGTGAGAGAGCCCTGCCACCAAGGCTCCTGCAGTGCCCGGGACCGGCAGTTCCTCCTTCCCTCCTGCCTGGCCCGTTTATCCCTTGGCATGAATCTGCCTCACTCTGTCCCTCTTCCAACTCACTGGTGCCTCGTTTAACTGCATGGTTCTCCTGAATGCCATGAACCTGCTTCTTCTATGGTCTCAGGTCTTGGAAGACAGAAAATATTCTTTCCGTCTGTTCTCAGGGGAAAAAAAATTTACCCAGACCCCTTCGTACCCACCAGGAGCTGAATTATCCAGAATAATGGCAAACAGGAATCCCATTTCTGGGAAACAGCCCTTTTGATTTCCCCAGATTGAATGACTTCCAAGTTCCCTTTCTCCAAAGTTCCCTAATTCAATTAACTTGGTTTGACTCACTCTCCTCTTCCCCCACGCTTTTCCCCCTACTTCTGTGCCATGTGGTCGGTTCTCTAACTGAGGTGCCTCCCAAGTCGCCACACTTGCTGCTTTCTTGCTCCTTAATAATCCCTGCTTCCTGCCTCTGTGCATCCATTAGCCTCTTTTTTTTTCCTTTTTTTTTACCAGCAAGTCCTAAAGGACCCAACATCAAAACACCAGCACAGAGGGCTACTGTAGGAGCTTTTTACATCCACAGAGAGCAGCGGGCTACAATGGAAGGAGTCTGACTTTCCTCCCTTCCCCATTCTCCCCAGTCTTACCAATAAGCCCCGAGTAGGCGAGGAGGCAGTCGGCGTAGTTCTCCTTCAGACAGCTGCTGACAGACCTTGACTCCGGTTGGCAGTTGGTGAAAAAATCCGCCAGGCGAGATCTGCAACGGGAAAAAAGGGCGTGGGGGATGTGCTTGAAAATATCCTAAGCTTCTGGACAGACACTGTTTTTTCCTTTATTCTTTTGTTGATAGGCTTTTTTCCACACAGACAAAATACAGAAAACGTGAACTCAAAATATTAGCATCCTCTCTTATACAACCACCCCCAAACGGTCCCTTCACCCACCTGTGTCTGCTTCTTCACAGAGAAGCCTTCAGGGCCTATAACTGGAGAAATCAAGATGCTTTGAAGTTTCCATTCAATATTTATTTCTGACTAGACTTATTTGCATCTTTAGGAAATATGGTTCTGCACACACTCACCGGAGATCCACACTGGGAAAATATTTACTTTATACAGAAACATGTCCCTGGCATCAAAGTAGGATCCTACAGCCCATCTGCTCCCGTAATTCCTAGTGGCTTTAAAAATATGTGTATCTGTCTTATAAGTCATGTCTCATCCACCACCCCGGCTTGGGCGGTGTGTATGTGTGTGGGGGGGCAGTAATTTATTCCAGCCCAGTGATACTGAGGAGCTCACCTTCCCAGAACTGAAGGGAAGGAAGGGCAGGAGGACAGGGTGATGCTGGTTCTGGGTGCGGTTTCTCTGTCTGACTGGGTGTAGCGGGTCTCCTGGTCAACGAGCAGCATCTGCCTGCGATTCTGGAAGCCTCCAGGGGCCAATGCAGTCCACCCGGAAGCCCTGGATGGTGCTGGAGTTGCAGAGACCCGGAAATGGAGATGGGCCACAGACAACGCTGGTCTGGGGAGGAAAAGGGCTCTTTGTGGCCAACTGGCTATTTTTTTTTAATCTGAAGAGGATATTGTTGGAGAAATCCTGAATGAGCGCTGGGCCACCTCTGAGGTCATCATCCAACAGAGCAGACAACAGCTCTGTTTCTGTGTGAGGAACACAACGGACTTCAAGAGCACTGAGATTATCTGGCAATCGTGGGAGACAACGGATGGTTGTCTCAGCTTTCTTCTTTTTTGCTTACTCGGGTTGGCAGCCAACATACCCAGGCTTGTTTTCACTTCTTTCCACCCGGGAAACTGTATTTACTGAGCATACTTAGTGATACAAACAAGCTTGCGTTGGTGGGGCAGAGCAAGGGAGGACAGACGTGTGCAGATCACAGAGGTGTGTGAAGGGCCTGCAGGAAGCACATTCTGTGTTCCTTTCCTACAACTTTAACTGGAAGGGGATTAAAAGGCCTGATGAAATTATCTAAGTTCACAGCGCGCTGCAAAGGCTGCATAGTGTTCTTGCAGGATGGGGCACTCTTGGAACCCTTGTGAACAAGGCGTGTCTGCACCTGCCTGTCTGTGCCGATCTGCACACTCCGTATGTCGAGTGCCTGGTTCCATCACTGTGACTCCCAGGGGCAGGTGCTGGAGCTCGGCTTTATTTTCTTTGCACAGCACCTGACACTCCTCAGACAGTCCCTTTACAACGCTTCCCAAGCAGGGCCATGTGCTGAAGCTAAGTGGCTCGGCCAAATCCTCTAAATGAGGCTTGTGGGTGCGCCTGGATCTCTCCCACGGTCCAGCCTCGCTGCCGTTTTCTGACTCTAATTGAACACACTGAAGGGCATAAAACCTGGTCATTTTCTGTAGCCTGGTTAAAGGACTTATTTTTCAGAGGAAATCCCCAAAGGTGACCCAGGCTTACTCAACTGGCACCAACGGCATCCAGCTTGGATTGAGTGTTAATTTCAGAAGAATTTTCCTGATCATGAAAGTTAATGATCTAGAGGCACCGGGCTTCTAACTCTGCAAAGGCCAACTGTGGTGCAGGCAGCTGGGGCTCCAGGTCTGCCCGCAACCTGATCAGCTCTCTGACCCGGTAGCCCTGCGCTCCCGGCCGTCCCCCAGAGATGGACGAAAGGTCGTGCTATCTCCGAGTCTCCTGTTACTCGCAGTCTCTCGAGCAGACTATTAACTGAACGGCACCGTGATGCGGATTACTATCCTCCAGCGCGAGGCTAATGCCACCAGACTCATTTTGCTTAACAACCTCAGAATTGACTCACAATTGGACTCTGGAATGGAAGCCTAATTGAGTCAGTCTGCTGCAGAGAACATAACCCTGATTGGGAGGATAAAACTAGATATACTGCTCTGAGCATCATCCCGGACAGGCTGGGTTTTTGAGAGAAGACTGTCAGCACAGATTCCACTTCTAAGACGGAATCAGCCAGCGGATGGAAACAGTTTCAAAATGACCGTGAGCACACGCATCACGACGACACTAACGTTTCCCAGGTTCCTTCACCTTTGACCCACCTCCACCAGACATCTATACTTGGAGACAGGATAGCCACTTTATAGGATTCACATTCCCCAGACAGAAAAACTGAAGCAAGAAGAAGTTTATGCAGCAGTGTGCGGGAGCCAGCTCGTTATGGGCGGATGGGGACATTTTCAGGAATTTCGCGAGTCGGTTAACATCACAGTGGTAGCTTGAAAGTGGCCTTGGTGGGAGTTTTTACACAATGATAATCAGCAAGCACTACAAATCAGGGCCTTGTGCTGTTCTTGGAGAGCCGGTTGTTAAATATTTACTGGCACAACACTCTTTAAAAACCAGCATGATGTAGTCAGTCCCAATGTGTCTTCTCTTGGCACTTCCTGGACAGCCTTCCCCTCCCATCCCCAACCACCTTCGTCTCAAATGAAATGTGAAATATTGTAGTAAATTAACCCCCAGTCCTCAGTATCTTCCAAAGAAAGAAAACAGACCTCCCCAAAGATCCTCCCATCCCAACAACAGTCCTCTGTCCTCTGAAGTCTCTTAAAGCAACGTGTGCAAATGATTACGTGAATTGACAAAGGAGCTGACTTCTTGTCCGTTCCATTGACTGATGATGAATCAGTTCCCTGTCCCTGAACTCAAATAACCTGCCCCCTAGAAGCCCAGAGAAACAAAAGCTTACAATGCAACAGTGGCTAGTTTTTGATAAAAGGTAAAAAAGGCTGCTAATAAAAATGACACCTAACGTGAATCAAGTATTTAGTATATGCTAAGTATGTCTTCATGTACTTTACATTTTTTTCTGACGACTCTCATAAGGTAGGGACCATTATTTTATTATCCAAATTTTACAGAGGAGGAAACCACGGCTTAGCAAATTTAGACCAGAGTGAAATAGTGAGTAGGAGAGCCAGGATTTAAAACCACACATTCTGATTCTAAACTTAAGCTTTTAACAGAACAGAAGCTGATTTCAGAGCAGGTGTAATACTGAGACTGAGACTTGAAGGAAGGGTAGGATCCTGCAGGTAAATGTGGAAGAGGGTACTCCAGGCAGAAGGAAGCAGCATATGATAAAGTAACCACGTTCATAATAATCTCAGGGTAACAATCATGGCGTGTTTGTACCTGCCAAGCATGGATCTAAGTGTCTGACATGATTCACATATTTAATCCTCACAACAACCTTGGTAGGTGATACTAGCAGCCCCATTCCACAGATGAAGACACTGAGGCAAACAGAGGTTAAGTAATTCCTCCCAGGCTGTACAGTGCTGTGGTGAAGCTGGTACGGGACCACATTCGGCGGGACTGAGAACATCCTCAACCACCACACCTAACACACACATCATCCATAAAATTGTTAGTGGTTCACTTGAGATGGCCGGGCCAAAGGATGCAAATGGTGAGTGACAGTAGATCGTGCTGGCAAGATCACGAAGGGCCTCGAATGACCTAAGGGTTTGGATTTTACCCTAAAAGCAGTGGGAGCCATTGAAGGATTTTCAACAGAGAAGTAACACGATCAGATCTGCAGAGCAGGAAGACTCTTGGGTCTCCCAGTTGTTAAGCAAAGATTTGCTTCGGACCTGTTCTGTGCCCTCCCTGTTCTAGCCACAATGAGAAGAGCCAGAAACGGGCCAAAGGCAGGAGGGACAGTTATGCAGGAGGCTGCAGCCAGCAGAGGAACAGAGGAGAAGAGGGCCAGAAAGGGAGGAGGGGAGGAGGATGGCTGAGCGGAGGGAAGGCAGGGATGGAAGTCAAGATTGCAGAAAGGAGGGGGCAGAATCTGGCGTGAGCAGCTCAGTAGACAGTGGTGCCACGGAGTGTGGCGGGGACACAGAAGAGGACAGGGCTGCAAGGAAGAGAGTGAGGTGGGTTGTGGCTGTGCTGAGTTCATGGTGCCAGGGGAGCCAAGTGTCTAGCGGGTTGTGTGCACCCCAGATCTTCATCTGTCCGGTGGCCAACCAGAGCGTGAGCGCCTGCAGTCCTGCCGGCCCCCACATCCCAGGATCGCCACCCCCCTGCACATGCCTTCCTTCCCACTCTGGGTTAAGAATCACGCTGTAACCTGTGTCAATGGCTTCCTTCCCCAGCCCAGGCTGCAGTGATCCAAACAAGAAGGCTTACATGTCCTGTGTGGGATTAGCAAAGAAATTCCACAATTGGATTTCTTCTGGAGACCAGAAATCTCCATGACGACAGCAGTGATGAACCTGATTGTTTTCTCCCGGAGAAAATGAAAAGAAAATGAATAGGCACTAATGTAGAAACGTATCTCCCTCAGAAAGAGAAATTTCCCGCCCTTAAAGAGGAGGAAAATGCCGGCAAATGCCAAGTTGGCCTCAGGAAATCTGCTGAAGAGAAAACAGTGGTTTGTGCAGAAGATCTCGTATGAAAGGAAGCATGCTGCTAACTGGAAATAGAAAAATGATTATAATGATAAAATCTAGGAGCATCTTCTCAAACAGCAGATGGTCTTTTGACAGTGGAGGAAAAATCACCTACCTACTTGTGTTGTTAACATTTTTAGGAAAATGGTGTTACGATGAACAGGTACAAAACATACTAGTAATGATGCCCAGTTCAACTCATCCTGGATTATCCTAATCCTCTAAATTTTTTTTTTCCAGGGCAAATTCCACACTTGGACACAAGCTGTGTGGTTGGTGGAATGGAGCCCTGGACTAAGAACTGTGAGATCTTGTACGAGATCCAGGCTCTGACACTAACTACCCAGAGT